GTAGATAAGGGATGACCCAAATAAAAAACCCAGTTTGGCTGCCCTGAGCATCCTCTAGGCCAAGCCTTTAACTCTGCACTCTGTGTGCGTCACGCTGTCTGGGGCAGGCGTATTCTACAGGGGGCATTCTGCTTTACTCACAAACTGTTTAGGAAGCAAAACAAAAACCCACAGACTTATAAGTGTGTCCACTGAACACTGAGCATAAACATAAAAGGTATGATGGTTCTCTTGCTAACTGCTATTCTCATTCATATTTAAGGTGGATTTTGGCATACACATAGAAATTAATACGTACACTGAAAAGCAGAAAATAGAGTCCTGTCAATTTAGTTTGCTATAGGCTTTTTAAAAATTTTATGTCAGCATTGGGGCTTGAACTCAGGGCCTGGGTGCTATCCTTTGGCTTTTTTACTCAAGGGTGGCTCTCTACAACTTGAGTCATAGCCCCACTTCTGGCTTTTTGGTAGTTAAATGGACATTAAGAGTCTCACAGACATTTTCTGCTCAGGCTGGCTTTGAACCATGGTCCTCAAATCTCAGCTTCCTGAGTAGCTAGGATTTCAGATGTACACCACAGTGTTTAGCGTGGCTAAAGGCTTCTTAAAGCTTAAGTGTTCATCAAGTCGCCCGAGGGTTCTAAAAAGATGCTCCCTCTGTCCTGCTAGTTTGGAAGCTTGAGATTCAGTGATCCTCAGGAGCTCTGGCTACTGCTTTGGAGTCACTGTTAGAACAGCGAGACTGCAGTGGGGAGTGGATGATGATCTTTACTCTACCACGTATGGTTGTGCGCTGGGAAAGGTACTTCTCTTCCCCATCAGTTAAAATGAAATGTCAATAGCATCTTTCCAAAGATGTCCTGAGTAGATCAGCAACCAGCACAGACCCTGCCAGGTAACAGACCCTCAGTTCCATCCATCTCTGATCACCTGTGCTGGGCAGAAGAGCGACCCCTCCAGGATGCCCACACCATGATCCCCAGAAACTGCGACTGTAATGTGTTACAGTGGGATGGGGACACTGAGGGGAGAAGGCCTCCCAGGTTACTGGGTGGACCAAGCGCTATCACAAGGGAATGTACAAGAGGGCAAAGTGGGACAGAGAGGAGAGAAGACACGAAGCTGCTGGCTTGGAGATGGAGGTCCAGAAGCCAAGGAGCACAGGTGTCCCTCTGGTGCCAGAGCCTGGAGAAGGAACACAGCCCTGCAGATTCAGGACTGCCAGGGAATGGGGGCGAGGCTTTGAGCCACCCCAGCAGCTACAGCAAAGGAATGTACATCTGCTGGAATGATAGACGCGAGGGCAGGCTTGCCTTCTTAGTGCAGAGCAGGGGAGTTCCTGAGGTAAGTCCTGCCAGATGCTGATACAGACAGTGCCCCGCAGCTACCTGAGGACCCTTCCCAATGAGGCACCGAGCCACTGGTGACACTGCTTGGTTTGGTTATGGCACTTTTTCGTAGACTGGCATGGACACATATGTTTGGCTCACAGAAATCCTTTGTCCTCTAATCAGACCAGCACCAGCCAATTTGTCAGCTGCACAAGCAATTGCCAGAGTCTAACAAGGCTCCTGGGGCCACTCTTGGGGGCTCGATGGCTCAGTGTCAGCAGGGCTAATTTTTGAAAGGAAGCCTGGACTCAGAGGTGAAGGATTGAAAATCAATGGATGTACAAATCTTCATTTGGTACTTTGAATATGGCGCACCTTATCGAGAAAGCTTTGTATAGGAAGAGAAAGACCTAGAAAACCACAGGGATGTCTACAGAATGATAATGTGTTTCAGTACAAAATAGGCTTTGTCCAAAATAAAGACAAAGCAGACAGCATTGAGGCTTGGACCCTCCCCTCCATGTTTGGACTTGGGCACCAGGACCTGCCCTCTCCTTCCCACAGACATCACCAAGGCATCCAGCACCGTAACTGGTACTTACCGAGCACTCAACGAATACTACACATGAACGGATACTATGATGGGTGTTTATAATGGAAAAGCATGATGTGATTGCTTTCACTTTAAAAAAAAACCCACACTACTCCGAAAGCTCTTTTGCTTCATTTTGAACCAATATCTACTTGGCCCCAGATATTATTTATGGTGGAATTAGAAGTATGCTTTCTGATTTTATTTGCCTATTAATATGTGCACTGGTTAATTAACAATGTGCTAAAACAGTCAAAGCAAATAATTACTTTTCTACTGTCTGTCCTGCAAATGAGCTAAGTGGGAGGGAAGCCACTTATTGCATATTAAAAAATGGTAACTAGATTTAAAATGCTCTGTTTAATATCAGACCACAACATTCAAAGCAGTTCTCAAGGCTCTGTTAAACCCCTACAAAACAGGCTGAATCTTGAGAGGTGACTGTGGATTCCTTTTCTGTTACCCTGAACACGGCCATGCTGATGGCCTGCCAGCTCCCACTCAGGAGGTCCTGGGACTCTCTGGTGGCACTGGTCGCAAAATCTGTACCTTTTCATTTCCTTGTGCTCAGTCTGGTTGACTTAGGAAGCAGCATAACTGTGCGGAAGGCTTTTATTCTAAATATGATTTTGAAATATAACTGAATACATTACCATAATTCAGAACAAGTTGGTAAACATCTACAAGAACATGTTACATAATTCCAGTGGGCCTCGGAGTACTCCACTTTGAAAGAAAAGATTTCACTGGAAAGAAAAATACTAACATTTGTCAGCTTAGGTTCAAGGGTGCCAACGGCAGCGGAAGTTGGGTCACATGCTATGCACACAGCACGCAGGGCTACCATCCCAGAGACGGCCCCAGCTGCGAACCAGGTGTCCAGTCAACTAACGCAATCCTTTGATGTCAACCTAAGTGGAAGCCCAGGCTCCACGGTCACCTCCACATGGCACACTTGGTACCCTGTACCCTTGGCCACCAAGTTCACCAGCAGCTATTATTTTACTTCTCTACAAAACAAACCAAGGGGCAAGACAGGGTGATGCCTACCAGTCATCCCAGCGAAAGCCAGCCTGGGATCCTATCTGAAAAGCAAACTACACACATAAAGCCTGGAGGTTTGGCATAGCCCAGACATTACGACGCTCACCTAGCATGCGTGAGGTCCCACAACCAGAGAAACAAACAAAATACCCAGGAGCATCCTGACACACGTGCCCTGCTGCTGCACAGAGCTTCCAGGACACTATCTCCCTGCAGAGGTTAGAGTCATGCTCTACCTCGCTGCCCCAGGTGACCGAGGTCTTAGAGCCTGCTGCTTCCATGGGTTCTAGGCTCACACAGGATCCTTGAGATCAGGGTTTGCCCACATTCCCCTGGTCCACCAAGTGCAGAGTACGCTGGAAGCCCAGTCTGCTGGGTGCGAGCAGCCCAACACCAGGTCAGGGGTCCCTCAGGGTGGTGCCACTGACTTCCACTGGGTGGGGGGGATGTCTCTGTGCATGACTTGCTGTAAGGCAGAGGCACACAGAAAATGAGGGGGACCTGGGGGATCCTTCCAACTTCAGAGCATGCACAAATGCTCCTTTCCCAGCCTCCAGATTTCTCACTGGGCTTTGCTCTGGATGCATGGGCTGCAGCACCCCAGCTTCCTGCAAACTACCTCAACTTCTAGAAGAGCTGAAAAAGTCAGTTGAAACAAATGTGTCAGAGCGCGGTGGCTCATCCTATAGTCTCAGCTACTTGAGAGGCAGAGATCAGGAGGATCCCAGTCTGAGCCCAGCCAAGGCAAAAAAGCTATGAGTCCCTGTCTCAACAAATAAGCCAAGCACGGTGGTTCATGTCAGTAAATAACTAAGGCAATAAGGGCTTAGGGCAATGGCTCAAGCAGCAGAACAGGCCCTTAGCAAGTAGAAGACCCTGAGTTCAAAGCCCAGTACCACCAGAAGAACAATCCACAGCCAGAGCTGTATTGTCCACCATGGTTTCCAGGTCATGTCTGTTCCCCTGAGCAGAGACCAGCAGAGAGGTGAGAGGCGGAGGCTGTGGGTGCCAGCTCTACCTCCTTGCTGGGCAGGAATCCCTGCTCACTGGGCTCAGCCCTGCCTGGGGGAGAAGGAAGGGTGTCAGTTGGGGAGGAAGGAAGATTGTTCTAGAAGGCCTTATTTGTTTGTATATTACCAGCATCTGACTTTTCCTTAGGGAAACCACCCATTCTTCAGACCACACATTTGAACTAGAGCTGAACCTCACACTCAGAGCCAGATGAGTATAGTCTGGGACTCTGACTGGACTGCCCCAAACTGAGCACTTTGTTTCACTGGGATTTCTGTATAAAGGACCTAAGCTGAGAGCTCCAAAGCGCCACCACTACAAAGCCTGGGCACAAAGGAAGTCCACCAAGATGGGAGCAGAGCTGAGGGAGGGAAAGAACAAGTTAACAGACTAAGAGACCCTGGATCAAGCTTACCTGAAACCCAGGACTTCTGCCCATGAACTTTATAGTCCCATGAGACAGTATGTGAGGAAGGGAGGAAGGAGAAGGGAGGGAGGGAGGGAAGGAGGGAGGGAGGGAGGCAGGCAGGCAGGCAGGCAGGCAGGCAGGCAGGCAGGCAGGCAGGCAGGCAGGCAGGCAGGCAGGCAGGCAGGCAAGCTTCAGTTGGATTTTTCTATCTTGCAACTAAAAAACTAAAAAAGCACCAATACAGGGAAAAATAAAATCATTAGGAAAGATGAGAGAAGGAAGACAGTTCTACTTCTGGATCCGGTGTCTGGAAGCACTCCCCACTGGTCCCTAGACAGGCAGGAAGGTGACACAAGGGGATCTGTTTCATTCTTCATATGAAGCTTGCATCATCAGAAGTGCTGCTCCTCTAATTGCTGTAATTAATCTTACCTGATTCCAAATATAAAACGAGTGTGCAACTGGTGATGTTTAACGACACTGCGGCGGCGTGGAGGAGGAGGAATAGGCCAGCACCGCACAGAGACATCTCTGGAGAGAAACCTGTGTTTTCAGGCCATGCAGTCAGGATTGGCTGAAGGAGAAAAGGCCTCGGCCGGCCTGGACAGGCTTACCTGGCATAGCATGGATGAGGTCGCCGCACAGAACAAAGAACTTGGGCTTGGGGTTGAGCTTGTTGATGGCCTGCACGGCCTGCTGGGTGAGCCGGATCTCCTGTCCCCACTCGTCACCGCCGCTGTCACAGTCCCCGGTGGCCCAGGCCTTCATCAGCCCAAACTGAGGGTCAGCACCTTGGATGAAGTAGAATGGGCCCTGCCATTCCTTTTCCTTTTCTTTAAAGAGAGAGGGAGACAGAAAGAGAGAGAGAGAATGGATATAAAATCCAACAGGGACAACATCCAGGTTATAATGGGCATGGATGTCATCATTTTCTTAAATTAAGTAGGCCATTTTAATAAGCTGCTGCTCAAACACACCATTTTCCTGTCATTGCCTAAAGGATTTAGATATATTAATTACGCCGAGGGCCTGGTGGTTCCCAAAGGCCATGAAAGCCCACATGGCTGCGACAGCCACACACCACGCTGTTTAAAAGCTAAGCGGCCAAAATGGGCCATGGAACCATAACACAGCATCATACAGAAGATCTTAATGAGCAGTAACAGTGTTCTAACTGGACTTAAAAATGGTACAGAGCCATGCTGCCTCATATATTACACAAAAATCACTAGGCGATATACGTATGGATCTTTTCTGCCAGGCCTTGCAGTGCTGTTGGTGCTGTTTAGGGTAGAGGGACATGGCAGAACTTTAATTATAAAACTTAAAAGCTATGAACTCTGGCTATCTAGCTGTAGGAGATGGGAGTGCCAGAAGTGAAATCTGGGTAAAGAATGGATGCTATGGATGGAAGGAAGGAAAAGAGAAAGAAAGGAAGGAAAGAAGGGAGGGAAAGAGGGAAGGAGGGAGGGAAAGCAAGTGAGCCCTCAATGATTTTGTGAGTAAATCTGAAAGAGAACCCATGCTACTTCTGCAAGCTTCCAGAGGAGAACAGTCCCATGTGATTCCTTCACTGGAGCCTTCAGACCCTGAAGCCGAACTCAGAGAACCTGTCTGTGCCCAGAGACCTGTCTGTACCTAGAGACCCAATAGAAACTGTGAGATGAGACAGAACCACTAGGTAATTTCTCACACACACACACACACACACACACACACACACACACACACACACACACGGGAGGGTGGAAGGTAAGCAGTAAGATTCTATATTTGAAAGCTCTTAGCAGTACTTGCTTACTTTATTTGAATAATAACTTCGCACATGGGTGAACACTTGTAACCACATGCCTACTTCTGAGGTCCTGGGCAGGGCTGTTTACTGTCAAGAGGTGATCTGGGAGGTGATCAGCATCCAAGGTCAAGGCATCAATCAACAACTTTTTGTTGTTGTTGTTGTTGGTCATGGGGCTTGAACTCTAGGCCTGGGTGCTGTCCCTCAGCTCTTCAGCTCAGGTGAGCTCTCTACCACTTGAGCCACAGTGCCACTTCTGGTTTTCTGGTGGTTAGCTGAAGGTAAGAGTCTCACGGACTTTCCTGCCCAGGCTGACTCTGAACAATAATTTTCAGATCTCAGCCTCCTGAATAGCTAGGATTACAGGTGTGAGTCACCAGCGCTCAGCACATCAATCAACTTCTAACACACAGTTTGAAAAGTGTTGCCTACAGCCAACATTTTAACAAGTCGTTTCCTATGACAAATAGTCACAGCCTCAGAAAGCCATAGTCCTTGGAGCTATTAAAATAAATCTCGCATTTCTTATTTACTTAGTGAAAAACCTACATAGACTGTCAGTTTTATGATGACAAAGCACAAAATAAAATAGATTTCAATCTAAAGCGAATGACAGCTGGAATATCAATACGTAATCTACCTTATCTAGCTCTAGCTAATCAGGTAATCTGAGACCTTCTCAAAGGCCTCTGGGTCCTCTTAGATTCCCTGGCAAGCTGGGGGGGTGAGGTGGGGGGAAGGTCTTTAGTCTCATCTCAACTTGAATCGAGGCTGGATGAATGGTATCTGGGGCTTTGTAATGCTTAGGTCTGAAAGGAGAAAAAAAATTTTTTGGTGCCCTACTGAAGCTTGACCTCAGAGCCTGGGTGCTGTCCCTGGCCTTTTTCATTCAAGGCTGGCTTTCTACCACTTAAGCCAAAGCTCCACTTCTGGCCTTTTGCTGGCTAATTGGAGATAGAAGTCCCCCAGATTTGTCTGTCTGGGCTAACTGCATACCACAATCCTCAGGTCTCAGCGTCTTGAGGAGCTAGGATTACAGATGTGAGCCACTGGTACCCGGTGTGAGAAATCATCCCTCAGAAGGACAGCCTTTCACATTATGAACTTGAATTCCTAATACCTGACTGCACTGAATTATTTCACCAAGGCCTAGACTTAGCCTCAGGGACAGGCCTAGGTATTAGCTAGCTCAAATCCACTGCCACCGTCCAGCTTCTCTTGAGACCTTCTGAAAGATCTAGTCAACGATTACAGTTGTGGATGCTTGGGGGAAAAACATTCTTCCCTAAAACAGCTGATACACAATCACAGCAAATGTCATTACTGAAACACACACACACACACACACACACACACACACACACACTGAGAAGAGCTGGCCTACAACTCACTACAGAATTCTTCTACTTGGGGGACTTGATTATGTGACATAAGAAATAGGTACACAGTGGCTTTTGTTTTCCTAAAATGAAATGTCTCACGGCGGGGGTGGGGGGTGGGGGTGGGGGAGGGGGGCTTTTGCTATCCTTAGTGATGGTTTGTTTTTTTTTCTGGAGTTTTGGTTTTCATTTCTATTTTTTCCTGCTTCTGTCTAGTTCAGGAATTTGGTCCTACATTCCCTCAGTATTCTGAAGGATTCTCTAGTTATCACCTTTTAAATTTCCTTTCAATGCTTGGCACTAGTGACTCACACCTGTCATCCTAGCTACACAGGAGATTGAAATCTGAGGATCGTGGTTCAAAGCCAGACTGAGAAAGTTCGTGAGCTTCTGATCTCCAATTAATCATAAAAAGCCAGAAGTGGTGCTATGGCTCAAGAGTACAGTGCTAATCTTGAGCACAAAGAGGCTCAGGGACAGCACACAGGCCGAGTTCAAACCCCACAACTGACAAAAGAAAAATAAATAAATGAAGTTGGAGGTGAAAATTTAGCTTAGTAGTATAGTGCTTGCCTAGCATAAATGAAGCCCCAAGCTCAATTCCTCAGTACCACATAAACAGAAAAAAAAAAAAAAAAAGCTAGCTATGGCACTGTGGCTCTAGCGGTAGAGTGCTAGCCTTGAGCAAAAGGAAGCTCAGGGGTACCCATGCTCGGAGTTCAAGCCCCAGGACTAGCCAAAAAAAACAACAACTCAAAGTGGAGCTGTGGCTTAAGTGAAAAAGCAGTAGCCTTGAGCACAGGGATAGCAGACCCCAAGTTCAAGCCCCAGAAATGACACCAAAGAGAAAAAAATTAAAAGATTTCCTTTCAGAACCAAGTTAAGGTTCCTTAAATGGTGAGAAGTGGACAGTGGAACTCTTTACTAACCAGTGAGTTCTGCCACTGGAGATTTTACTCATGTGGCACATCATTAGAGCACCCAAAGCAAGAATGCTGAGCACATCACACTTACCTTTATTCAAAAGCACAACAGCAGGGGACAGATTTTTCTTACAAAAGAACCCAGTCAGGGACCCAGCTAGAGAACCCTGATGGAACTATGGCCAGAGGGCCACAGATACACGCAGCAACATGGTAGCATGCTTGCCAGACACACAGAAGGTCCTGGGTTCAAGCACTAGAACCAAAAGAATGATACACAAATACTGAATTTTTGAGAGCAACTTAAGTACTTGGGGGATGAAAGAATGAAGCAAGTTAACTGACTTCTGATCTCATTTCTGATCCCAATGGTACCAATGTAAGACATCTCTGGGGAGATGATTAAACACATAGGACACTGCCGGTGGTGTATTTAACATGAACACATAGGTTAGCTACATCACCTAAGCCAACTACAGTAAGAGCAGTCACAGGGAATTCAATCTAAGGAATTCAAAGAAGACTGACTTAGCTATGCACTGCTGTGTAACAAATTACCACAAATTTAAAAAAAAAAAAAGACCTATCTTCTGTCTCCTAGCTCCCAGGACGATGGCCCGGCCTGTCATCTGTATTCCTTCTGTCTCCTAGCTCCCAGGACGATGGCCCGGCCTGTCATCTGCACTTCAGCTGCAATCCTGCTGGCCGGTTCCCAGGCCTTGGCTGAAGATCCACTCAGGCCTAGCAAGTGGGTGGTTGGCAGGACTTGGCCATGTGGCTTTGGAACTTGAGGACACCCATTTCGAGCAGGCTGCGGGCCAGAGGCCACACTCAGGTCCTCCAGCTTTATCAAAGCCAGCAAGGGAGAATAAACAAGTTTTGGGGTTCTCCCAGGGTACTTAGGTTATCTCAGGGACTCATGCTTCCCAGGCAAATGCCCCATCACCTGAGTCATTCCCCCAGACTTTTTGAATTGGCAGTTTGTTTTTGTAGTGGGATCTTGTACATTTGCCCAGGCTGCCACCTTCCTGTCTCTGCCTTCCTAGTAGCTGGGATTACAGATCTGCATGGCCAGGCCTGGCCCAGGAGTTATCCTACAGTGAGGGAAATGGTACCTTTTTTTTTTTTTGGCCAGTCCTGGGGCCTGAACTCTGGACCTGGGAGCTGTCCCTCAGTTCTTCAGCTCAAGGCTAGCGCTCTACCACTTGAGCCACAGCGCCACTTCCAGCTTTTTCTGCTTATGTGGTGCTGAAGAATCGGACTCAGGGCCTCATGCATGCAAGGCAAGCATTCTACCACTGAGCCACCTTCCCAGCCCTGATATCCCAATTTTTTGGTCTCTGTACTCTTCTTGTTATGAATACATCATTGGCTACCCAGAATGGAGGCACATAGAACAGGAGGCAGGGGGCAGGAGGCAGGTCAGGGGCCACCACTGAGCTGGCCACAGATGGTGATGTAAAACCCAGCTCTCACCTCATGTTAAGTCACCGAACCTCCAGTTTGCACCTGGCCTGTAACAGAGGCAAGAGAGGCTGGGAGCTCAGCATATGGAAGCCCGCTGCATACCACTTAAGCACTGGAAGCAGCCCTGGATCCTCAGAGTTGTCTTTCAGTGAACTACAGTGGGAAACTGAGGCCTGGCTAGGGGTCTCAAGGTCCAGTGGAGACACAGCTACTGAGCAGCTTCTGGACTAGGGAGAGAGACGCAGCGCAGATGGGATGGGCTCTGGGCTGCCCAAAAGCTGTCTGTGTCCATGTGGACATTTTTGTCTCTGAGAAGTTTCCTCTGAATGGAATGTTTCAGTTAAAGGCATAAAAATAATATTGGCAAGGCCCAGAGCTTTCTCTGTCTCCTACCAACTGTCCCTGCCAACAGCATTGGGCTGGTGCAGAGCGCAAGACATCATCTTCTCGGGGTGCTAACTGGCGATCTCCAGACACAACAAACTCAAGATCTGGCTAGCAGACATGTTCTGTTGGACCCACGCAGTATGTGTAAAATTTCAAGGTTGCTGCCAACATTTTTAACTGATGAGTTCTATGGCTGTGCGTAGACTTATGGATTCTCAGGGAAGACCTTTGGCTTGTGGATTGGCCACAGATGGGGGAGAGACATTGGGCCTCACTCAAGGTCTTATGTTCCCAGCCTTACCATAGCCCGCATGGCCCCAGGGGCCTCTGCAGTAAAAAGCCAGCCTGCTGCTGTGCCCACGCTGAGCGTGAGAGAGAGATGAGGCACATAAATTGGTGGAGGGTGAAGGCCAGAAATCAGCGCAAACTGCCTGCTCCTCCTGAAGCCCCTGACGTAGGGTCAGATGGGGTTATCAGCTAGGAGAGCCTATGCCTATGCAAACAAGCCAGAGAACAATCTCTGAGTTACCGCCATTGGCCATGGAAATCTGGCTCATGTGCCACGTGGACAGTAACACGTCCTCCCAGTGTCCCCTCCTTGGCTACAAAGGACCATGCAACCTCTCTCAAAGCTGAGGGATAAATAATAGATTTGGAGGCTGAGTGCTGATGGTTCATGCTGATGGTTCATGCCTGTAGTCCTAGCTATGCAAGAGCTCAGATCCGAAGATTGTGGGTAGAGGCCATGCCCGGGCAGAAAAGTAAGTGAAATTTTTATCTCTAATCACCAAAAAGCCAGAAATGAAGCTGTGGCTCAAGTGGTAGAGCACTAGCCTTGGGTACACACACACACACACACACACACACACACACACACACACACACACACACACACACACACACACACACACACACACACACACACACACACACACACACACACACACACACACACACACACACACACACACACACACACCAAATCAGAGACAGTTGTCCAGGCCCCAAGTTCAAGCCCCAGAACTGGCACTTAAAAAAATGGATTTGGGGGAATATTATACTGTGTGCAGAAAAGCCCCAGAACTGGCACTTAAAAAAATGGATTTGGGGGAATATTATACTGTGTGCAGAAAAGGTCTATGAGGAAAGTGGTGCTGTGGCTCAAGTGGTAGAGTGCTAGCCTCGATCTGAAGAGCTGAAGGACAGTGCTCAGGCCTAGAGTTCAAGCCCCACAACCAACACCCCCCCCACATAAAAAATAATAAAGAAGAAAAGGCCTATGAGTCTTCTTTAAACAGTTTAATCAGCTGCAAAGGAACTGCATGTAGAGAAGAATCTAGAAGTCCAGGGGCCGTTGCACAATGCCTCACCATTAATCCTCCTTATCAGACTGTTCAAGTGCCAAAAATCCTGCCTGAAAAACAGATGTTCAAACTGCAATTCTCTTTTCAGTGTGCACTTCCAATGTCAGAAACAAAATGGTTTCTTGGATTTGTCTCTGCCAAAGTATTTCCTTTCATTCATTTTACTATGCCTTTGGGAATATGTATTAATTGTTACTGGAAGCTGACTTTAAAATATATTACTCTGAAAGTTCAAAATCTCATCGATCCTGTTGCTGTCACAAGTTACCCACTGACTATAATAAATGCACCTCTTGAAGCCAGTGATGGAGAAGGCAAGGAGAGTAAGCAGCGCATTGGGACCGGCACTTCAGTTATCTGAGCTGTGGGGTGCCAGACCTGTTGCCTACATTAACTTCTGGGATTCAAGGTGGATTGTATTATACAGCCCTCTCATCTCTTGTAAAGAGAAGCCATGCTCGCGGTTGAAATGGTAAGGGACTAGCCGAGCGGCAAGATGGCAAGGACTCCTCATTACTCTCACGTGACTGGGGATTCGGGTCTGGGCTGCTGGGGGCATCTAGCCATGCAGTGAGCCCATGCTCACTGGACAGACATTGGGCAGTGAGCAATGCCAATAGATCTCCTGCCTGGAGATCTTGCAGAACACCAGGAGAGATGGCCTCAAAGAACCCAACTAGGTGCGCCGTGCTTGTTTATAGACTGCAGGGTGGCCAGGGGGCTGAGCGCACTCCAGGCAGGGGACAGGTAAGTGCCTGAGTGACGGTCAGCCAGAGCTGGAGGCAGGGCTGACAGCACAGAGGACGCGAGGGCTTGGTGGGGAGGTAATGCCCCTGTGCCACTTTGGATCTCCATCTTCTAAGTCCCTACCTGGTCCTGGTAGAGCTAGGAATCTGGGGCTCCCCCGTCTATGGTCAAATCCCATTTCTATTCTTCACCTTCTGTATGACACATCCAAGTCCTCCCACTCTCTGAGCCTTGGTCTCCCCCATGTGTAAGTTAACAGTGACCAGAGCTCTCTCAAAGGTTCTGTTGTGAATTCATTAAGTTAATGCATATAAAGCATTTTTTGGACCAGGCTGAACTATTACCATGGCAACACTGCAGTCACTTGGACCTTGTTTTAGCAGACAGGCTGCTGGGGGCCCACAATGAGACCCAGAAAACACCTGAGGGGATTATATAGGCTACCAGCTTCCCCCAACGTCCTGACCCTCCCATTGTGTGGGCAGAACGTTGGTCTCGAAACAGCTGCCTGCATCCTTCCTGGCTAAAGAGACATCAACGAAATTCAATTTTCCCAGTTCCTCCCAGTGGCAATCTGCACGGTGAATTCCAACTAAACTTTTTCCATGATAGCCTTCATCTTTTCCAGGAACTGTCTTATTTCAGTGGTAAGATACAGTAGCTCAACAATATCCCCATGCCGAGATGCTTTCTGGTTTAACCACTTCAGAGTCCTGGGTAAAAGGGCTAGATCTAATGCCTCAGACACAGGGCCTTCATAGTGGGTGGTTGGAGTTCAGGGCTATGGGCAGCTATGGAGTTTAGACTTCTTTTAGGGATGATAAAGTGATGCAATGATGGCTGCATGGCTGGGTGAATCTATGAAAAGCTGCTGAACTGTGTGCTGAGGGTGACAGGAATACAAGCGTCCTCTTCCCCTGAATAATTAATGGTGTCAGCAACCTCAGTCACCCTCCTAAGTCCCCCCATGAATCCACCCAGCCTCTGCCTTATCCTCAGAGTCTCATACGCTTCAAAGTGCCCACCCGACGGTCACACTCACCACTGGCAGATGAGAGACTTGCCAAACTCCTCATCAACAACCCTTCAGATTGTCCCGGGGGGAGAGGGGAAGAGACTTGGCCAGGCAGCTTTCAGCATCACTTCATTGGCTTTGGCAAACACTCTTCTGGACAACCGCTACAGGGGAGAAAGATGTTTCCAGAACCTTCTGGCACTTTCCCAAAGCAGATCTTCACTTGGGAGTTTGGGTGGATATTTGCTTGGATTCTATCTCCTCTTCCTCACATTTCCCAGCCAAGAGAGCAGGCAGTTGGGGGACAGAGGCTCTGGGGGACAACAGGAAAGCGGTCCCTGCCCTGGCCAGAGGAAGGGTATGGAGAGGCTGAGGGGCCGAGGCGCTGGATACAGGGGGAAGGCTGCCTCGTTCAGGCAGGAGCATCTGCAGGAGAAGAAAACCTCCTCCAGCAGCCACGTTTGTGCAGGGCACGTACCATGAACACACACTGCACAGTGCCGGGCGTGGGCATGCGGGATCAGAGAGCCCACAGTGCCGTGGGCAGATTCACACGGAGGTCCACAAGCAACACACCATCAGTGCATTCATTACCAGCCGTGGAATGTCCACGACCGCCTGCCACTGCCCTGGTCTACACAGCAAGAGGAAAAGACAGGGAAACAGCAGGAAGCAATGCACCACTGGGCTGCCCTGCCTGAGTAAAGCAGGTAGCGGGGCCTTGGCTAGAAAAGGGCAAGCTAGGGAAGCTGGGAGATGAAGACTACCCTGGTGCAGTGTGGGTTGGCATCACGGCCCGTAGGCTCTTCTGGAGACCTGCTTGCTTATTAATGTGGAGACCCAAACCACAGATGCCTCAGTGCCCAAGTCCGCACAAAGCAAGGTGAACAAACATGTCTGCCAACACCCTGCACTCGCTTTACAACGGAAGACTGGAGGCATTAGCACCCAGAGATTGGTTCTTTAAAAAGAAACCAATTAAAAAATAGCTATTAAAAATAGCCTACATGGGATTTTTGCAGTTTTTAACTCTGCAACCTCTCCTGTCTGGCTGCATGTCAAACTCACCTCTCAAAGGTGGGAGGCAGCAGTTCTGGGGTCCTGGGATCCTCTGGATTATTGCCTCTTCCCCACTGAAGGGTTTGGGAAAGTCAAACTACATTGTGCTGCTTGGTATGGTGAGGCACACCTGGAATCCCAGTGCTCATGAAGCAGGCACAGGATTGCCAACTCTAAGCCAGTCCGGGCATCTCAGTGAGACCCTATCTCAATATACCACCAGTAGGGGCTGGGAAGGTGGCTCAGTGGTAGAGCACTTGCCTTGCATGCCTGAGGCCCTGGGTTTGATTCCTCAGCACCCCATAAGCAAAAAGAAAAAAGCCGGGAGTGGTGCTGTGGCTCAAGTGGTAGAGCACTAGCCTTGAGCTGAAGAGCTGAGGGACAGCGCCCAGGCCCAGAGTTCAGGCCCCACGACTGGACCAAAAAAAAAAAAAAAAATCAATATACCACCAGTAAACAAATCGTGTAGCCAGTGCACACACGCAGAGGTTGTGAGCCCAGTGGCCCCGGCTGGCTGGCTACAAGGTCCAGCCAGCACCTGCGGAGCCCTCCGCCTGCCCCCCAGGGCCCTCTGCTGGCTCAGGTCCTGCTCCCCGCCTGCTTGCTGCTCGTCTGTGGAAGTTGTCCCTTCCTTCCACTCACTCTCACTCCACCTCTCTTACGAAGACATGGAGCAAGCCCCATGGGGACAGGAACTCAGTGCTGTTTCCGACTCTCAACATTCTGTAACTAGAGGAGGGCCTGGGGACAAATCCTGAAGGCCAGCTGGTAGAAATAAAATATACCAAAGAATTCCCGATTCATGCTTTCCAGCTGACTGTGTGTCCACGGAACAAGCCCCAGTGGAAGAGATGCCTTCGCCCTGGTGGTTATGCACTAGCTAGGCTCACTCTGGCCCATCTGCAGACGCAATCCCGACAAACCCAACACTGGCAGACAGAGGCACATTTCATTAGGATGCAATATACAATACAATTCTTTAGTTCCCCTTTCCTTCCTTTTCTTATGAACTATCAGGTTTCCATTGTGGTTTAACATAAATAATAATGGAAATGTTGTAATGGTCACACCCTTTCTTATTCCACAACACATGTACGAATGAACTCAAAGTTGTCCTTGGAGCTGGGGATGCAGCCCAGAGGTAGAGGGCCTGTGTAACACAAGTTCAAGTCCCAACACTACCAAAAAACTTCATCTAAGTAAAAGCACTCCAGCTAGAAAACTTGCAGAGAAAAACAAAGCAGTAAACCTTCATGATCTGGCAAAGATTTCTTATATATGATATCAAAAGCACAAGTGATAAAAGAGAAAGCTGAGAAACTAGGCACAGTGGTTCACTCCTGTGATCCCAGCAACTCAGGAGGTGGCGATCAGAAAGACTGTGGTCTGACAGGCCAGCCCAGGCAGAAAGTTAGCAAGACCCCATCTCAACTGATAAACCATATGTGTGATGGTGCACATCTGTCATCTCAGCCACTTAAAATGCATAAGTAGGAGGATCATAATCTGAGACAGGACCTCGAAAAAACTCAAGACTCTTTAAAAAATAACTGGGGCTGGCAAGGTGGCTCATTGGTAGAGTGCTTGCCTCGCAGGCATGAGGTCCTGGGTTCAATTCCTCAGCACCACGTAAGCAGAAAAAGCTGGAAGTGGCACTGTGGCTTAAGTGGTAGAGCGCTAGCCTTGAGCTGAAGAGCTGAGGAACAGCACCCAGGCCCAGAGTTCAGGCCCCACGACCAACAAAAAAAAACTATATAGCAAAAGGCACTGGGGCATGGTTCAAATGGTAGAGCACCTGCCTAGCCAAGTACTAAGTCCTGAGTTTAAATCCCAGCACCACAAAAAAAAATAGCCATATCATTCACCACGTGTAACTATGAGTCTTGTATACCACCCATCTTATACAGGACTTGGATCCTGGATATGGAGAGAACTCACGGAAAAAGGCAGCACAACTGAAAATCAGGCCAAGGACCAAAGATGTCCACTGAGCACAGTACAGAATGCCCAATAGCCCTTGTCACTAGGAAAATGCAAACAAAACCCAGTGACAGATGCTTCACACCCCAACAACACACAAGGGGCTGGCAAGGATGTGGAGAAACTGGAACCCACACTCACTGCCAGGAGGAAGGTGGAATGCTGCGGGTACTTTGGCAGTCCCTCCAAACGATAAGCACAGTAACCATAGGAACCAGCAATCCCAACGCGACGATTCTACCCCAAAGAAATGGAAATAGGCATGCATATGAAGCCCTGCACATGTCTGCTCATAACAGTTTCATTCATAAAAGCAAAGACAAATTCAATGGGGGCTGGTGCAGTAGCTCCTGCTTTTAATCCTGGCTACCTGAAGCTAACCTGTTCCAGAGACCCTATCCTAACCAATAAAATCTGGGCATGGTGATGCACACCTGCTGAAACATTTTTTTAAAAATGCAACTTCCTGAATGGGTGGCGGGAGTAGCAGTGGTGTCTGTTGACACTATTTATCACTGTCCCAGGAGAAACAGGGCACCAGTGTGTGCTAGGATGGGGGAAGAGGGGGTGTATCTGGAAATGCTCCTTGGTCTAGAAGCAGTTCCATATCTGAGCAGGCGTGAGGGAGGGGCTCCCAGGCCGGCCTGTGCTGTGGACAACCCACACTCCCACCTACACTCTGCCACACTTCTGCATCCATCCCTCTGACAGCTTACTACAAACCACTGAGGCGTAAACATTAGAGTGGGTGAATGCTATGCTATAGAAACTTACGAAAAATTAAAAGAAAAAAATACACTCAAAAATAGATGAGTTTGTCTTAGGAAAACAACACACCGTGAGCACAGACTGACAAGGGCTGGGTCACCCAGTGCTTCCTGCCCGCCAGGCCACGGGCTCTATCTACAACTTCATCCACACCCCTGGCCCTCTTCACTTTTTTTTTTTTGGATAGGGTCTCAGATTCTCTCCCTCCCCCACCCCCTCACCCCAGGACTAGTCTCAAATTACAGACAGTCTCTACCACATCTGTTGGTTGACATGGGGAAAAGGGGGGAATCACTAAATTTTTGCCGAGGCTGGCCTCTAGCCATGACTCTTCCAATTTCCACTTCCTTAATAGCTGGCATTACAGGTGTACATCGCCACATCCAGTCTACCCTACTGGTTACAATGAGGCTAGAAAGGAACAACCTTCCTGTTCAGTCATGGAAACTAGTGAAAGGAATAACTCAAACACACAACCCCAGACCTAGTTCAGAGAGGGGCAAAGCTCCCTCCTGGGTGACTGGTGGGTGACAGGAAAGAGGCTGCAGTTCAATCAAGCGGTCACTGGGGTAGCTCAGTTAATAGTTCACAGCGAAGTGGCCACCGGGCCTCGAGCAAAGTTCAGTTACTGTGAGCAAACTTTGTACTGACTCGGGCCTGTCTGGTCAGGTCCACCTTCCAAAACCTCATTTAACAGAGCACTCATCAGATAAGAGGGAACTCATTTGGCCTGAATACAAGCAGAATACTCATTTCCTGTTTTCAGCCCTGTGCAAACCCAGTGGAGCATTTCCTGCTCCCATATTTCTAATGACCTTGGGTGAGGCCTGTAGATCTGAGACTCCACTTTCACGCTCCAGTAAGAGGGTCTCAGAGAGGAAACCGCCCCTAGTCAGGCCGGGCAGGGCACACCTGTAATCCCAGCACTCAGGAGGCTGCGGCGGGAAGATCAACACTTGACCTCACACCACCCTGGGCCACGTAATGAGCCGTTGTCTCAAAAACACATAAACAAACAAACAAGTACAAGAAGAGCCCTGTTTTCTGAGGAGAGAGAGAGTTCACACCTACAAACAAATACAATTTGTTAACACCTGGTGTTTCTGGGTATTTCTCCCTTTCAGAATTTTCCAGAACAGAGGTGAGTGACCCTCTCCAAAGGCAGGTACGTGCTAAGAGAAAGCGGTCCTAATTCAGATAGGTCAGGAGGACACAGAACGGTCGCTTTGCTTAATTGAAACGAGGTCGTGGGGCCTGCCAGGGGAAAGCCAGGCGTCCACGCGGGCGCGGAGGCCACGGGGCCCGCGGCCTGTGGTCAGGAGGGCGCGGGGCGCAGGCGCGGCCTGGGAGGGCGGGGCGCGGAGGCCTGTGGTCACGAGGGCGCGGGGCGCAGGCGCGGCCTGGGAGGGCGGGGCGCGGAGGCCACGGAGCCGCGGCCTGTGGTCACGAGGGCGCGGGGCGCAGGCGCGGCCTGGGAGGGCGGGGCGCGGAGGCCACGGGGCCCGCGGCCTGTGGTCACGAGGGCGCGGGGCGCAGGCGCAGCCTGGGAGGGCGGGGCGCGGAGGCCACGGGGCCCGCGGCCTGTGGTCACGAGGGCGCAGGGCGCAGGCGCGGCCTGGGAGGGCGGGGCGCAGAGGCCACGGGCCCGCGGCCTGTGGTCACGAGGGCGCAGGCGCGGCCTGGGAGGGCGGGGCGCGGAGGCCACGGGGCCCGCGGCCTGTGGTCAGGAGGGCGCGGGGCGCAGGCGCGGCCTGGGAGGGCGGTGTGTGTGTGGGGGGGGGGGGGGTCACTCACGTCCATTGGCCCCGGGAGCCTCGGTCCAGGCCCCGTCCCTGGGCGGGGACGCCGTGGTCCGGCTCGTGGCCGGGCCCGGGCCCCCGCTGGCTTCCCTCACAGCCTGGGCCGCGTCGCACACCAGAGGCCCCAGCGCAGCCTCCCTGCGAGGCCGGCGCTTCCGGTTGAAATCCTTCAGGATTTCCGGTCGCTCCTGCTTGGAGCCTTTCCGCGCAGGCTCGTGGACCTTCGACCCCAGCGTTCTCTAGGCGCATGCGTGCCTGTGCCTGCGCGCAGGTACACGGGCCCCCGACGCCTTTGACTGAGCAAGGCCTTTGACTGGGAGGCAACGCCACCCGCCCCCTGGGGGGGGGGGGCCGAGGAGGAGGGCGTGTCCACGCCCACGGCCCCAGCCCAGCACCACCGACCCCACAAGCTGCCTCTGCAGGTCCGGTTCATCAATCGTGACCCTCGCCTACTCCCGGAAGGGAAGCGCCCCGCGCCATCACTCCAGGGCCCATACTTAGGCGCATTGGTTACCCAGGATTACTTTCTGTGCTGTAGCTCTAGGCCTAGATTTTGAGCTCCTAATGCTTCCAGTTGTATGTTCGCCATGAGATACTGGAATGTGCAAAAGGGGACTCGCCGGGTGTGGTGGCTGACTCCTCAGGAGTCTGAGATCAGGAGGATCACAGCTTGAGGACAGCTCCCACAAGTTCACAAAACCCCCATCTTAGCCAAAAAAGCTGGCCATGCTGGCACACACTTACTATCCCAGCCACACAAGAAGCATCAATAGGTGGATGGCAGTGTACGCCAGCCTGGGCAAAAGGCAAGACCTAAAGCAAAAGGCTGGAGGGTGTGGCTCAGGTGGTAGAGCACCTGCCTACCAAGGCTCTGGGGTGAAACCCAGCACCTCACAGAAGGAGAAAAAAGAGAGAATATTGGTCAAAATGAAGAGATACTGAAGAGTAACAGAAAGGTCTCTGCACTGTTGATGAAATAGAAACTTCCAGTCACTCTGGAAGACCTGCAGATCTATGACCTAGCCCTCTGCTCCCAGACATAGCCCCACAGGAAATCTCCCACCAGTTCACAGAAGGACTTGTACAAGAATGTTTACATCAATGTTGTGATCAAGAACAAAAAAACAACCAAACAAAGAGCCACTGTGCAAGGACCAGGTAGAAAGTGGCTAACATACTCAAAGAGGAGGATTTTTAAACCTATCCCTATTTGGACTGGGTTCAGTGTGGTCAAGCGACAGCAGATCTGCTGTCACTCAGACACCTACAAAGAGGAAAGGACAAATGGTTACCCAAATCTAGAAAAATGTGAGAAAATAGATTGGCTTGGGAGAAGAGGTGACCTTCAAGAAACACAGCCAGCTCAAAGCAACCCTTAAGGGTGAAGTACAGGGCTCAAGAGCCAGCTTTTCCTAGCCCTTCCCCCCAGTAGAGGATCTCCAGTAGAGGCCTCCTATTGGCTGAGCTGGGAGACTTGGAAAGGCAAAAGGAGAGAGCCAGGAGGTGGGTCACCCCAGAATGCACAAAGCACACATTCCCAGGACTGAGGCAGAACTTCTATCGCTGCATCTCATTTTCCATTGGGTGAAGAAAACCAAGTTAATGATGTAGAGAAATCTCCCTCCCGATCCTATCCCCCAGCAGGTGGTGTTTTCCCAGACCCACCACTAGTGGGTGTCTGGCTGCAGGAACTCCAATTAAAACTTTACCACTGTCCCACTATGAGTTGAAAAGGACAAGGTTTGGTAGAAGGGAGAAGAAAACTGAAATACAGGGCATATACTAGGAAAATAGAATGATGATGATAGAACCCATTGAAGTTGTTTAAAAAGAGGGGTAGAGACAAGAGTAAATCATTATAAATGGGGGAAAGGGCAAGGTTCTAGCAGAGAATTAAGAAGAAACCTACTTTAGATGCCACCACCAAGCAAAGGCTGAACAACTAGAAACTGCACCATTGTATAGCTGAAGGCCTTGCATTCACTTAGCACCTAGGACTTGTCCCACAGTGGCTAACAGAAACACTTCCACTGCAATCCCAGAAGGCAAGTAGCAATTATTGAAGCTGGATTGACTAGGGAAAGTGAGGTATGGTCAACTTACAGCAAATACAGGACATATTCCTTCATGTACTTCTCTTAAGATTAAGGGAACAAAGTCATTTTAGGGGGAAATGAAACAGGATAATTTAAGGAAACAGGCTTGCTGAAGGCAACACAGAAATCTGGTATTTAGAAACACAGAGGTGCCATCTTTGCTTCAAAGAGAGACAATAGGATGCATTCCTCACCCCAAGAATTACCACTTGTCTGACAGGATGTATACCTTTCTGGGAAAAATGCTTCCCCAAACTTAAGCCACCTCCTGCTCCAAATGCAGATAAAAGGGTGCCTCCTTGTCTCAAGGGCGGAGGATCTGTTTTATGGCAGGATGCATTCTTACCTGGAAACTCAGAAAGTAGCACCAGGTGTGATTACAGCAAAGACAAAGCACCTATCTTTACCTAAGTTTGAAGCCAGATCCCTGCCTTTACCCTATAAATACCCCAACAGCCTAAGGAGTTGTGTGTCTATCTCCCTATGTGAGCACCTACACTCTGTTAAGAGTGTGCCCCTGCCCTTCTGTGTATTTGTCTGCCTTTTGTCCGTCTGCTTATTTACTTAATGAAGCTCTACCAAGTTTTCTTTCCATCGTGATTTGTCCAGAAATTATCTTGCAAGTCAAGGACCCTAAGTGAGGAGTTCCTACCTTTAAAAGAAAACTTCTCAGTATTACCATACTCGTTTGTATGTGTGTGTTTAATGGTACGGAGGATTTGAACTCAACAGTCTCATGCTCGTTAAGGCAGGTGCTCTAGCACGTGCTCCACCTTCCCCAGCTCTCTCTGCTCGGGTTGTTTCTACGATCGGGTCTCACTTTTTGCCTGTGAGGACCTAGACTCCGATTCTCACTTAATGCTTGGAGACGGCAGGCGCCAAACTACCGCGCCGGGCTTCTTCTTGATCGAGAGGGAGAGGACTCTCCTAAAACTTTCTGGCCTAGAACCACGACCCTCCGGATCTCCGCTTCCCCTCGCAGCACCTGGGGACCGCAGGCGTGTCCACCACGCCCGGGTGCCGGTCAAAGTCGTTCTCCCAGCGCCCCAGCCTGGCCTCTGGGCTGTTCGGGTCACATCTGGGCAGTGCTGGGGTACACGAGGCATCGGGGAGGACCACGGTCCTAACCGTGCCCCCACCGCGCGCCCAGCGCTCACCCAGCGCCTCCCACGGCCTCCCCGCGGCCCCGACTCCCATAGGTGGAAACTGAGGCACGGCTCGCCCAGGAGCGCAGCCAGGGCCCGGGATCGCGGCTCCAGCTCCGCCCGCAGAGCCCGAGAGGCCTCGGCCGGGGGCCAGGCCCCGGGCGGCGCCCCGAGCGGGACCCCCGCCGCGAGCCGGCTCCACACAGCGCTCCCGCCCGCCGGAAGCACGAGCTGTGCGGCCGCGAACGCAGTCCCCGGCTCGCGCCCCCCCCCCACCCACACGGTGCACCCGCAAAGGCGTCCGGCTGGAGTCCGGCGCGCACGACTCAAGGTTCCGGAAGGAGAGCGGTTCCGCGGCCAGGAGTTTCCTCCAAGGCCGAGGCCCGAGTCGTACCTGCGGGAAACGCGTCCAGGGTCCGACCCCGGGCCCTGTGGAAGACACTCCCCGCCTGCGCAGCCGACATGGCGAGACAGCCGCTGCAGCACCCGGACCCGCGGCAGGACTCCTCCACGAGGCCCCGCCCTCGGGGCGGCGCCCTTCGTCCCTCAGGGCGGGGCGGGGGCGGGGCCTGCCGCTCCGGGCGCCACTAGTGCTGCCTAGACGAGCCGACTCCCCCCGCCCCCACTCGGGGATCTACTGCTGCGCCTGGCAGGGGGGGCTGGGGCCCCATGGGTCAGGCTGTTGCCTCTGGGCTCAGGGTTTAGGGGGTGAAAAGCCTTAAGGAGTTAGGAAAGTGGCAAGCAAAGGCTCCCCCTTTAACTTGAAATCTTACATAAGAATCTATACGTATGTTTATTTATTTAGTATGTCTCTTGCAGTCTTGGGGAGATACTGTTTGCTACCTGGTTTGTTTATCTGAAAGGCCACTGTAACTAGGCATCCTAATTTTTCTCTTTCTTTCTTTCTTTCTGGCAATTGGTGAGGTCAAAAAGGCCCAGTCCCAGCTCAGGACAGTCCTCCAAGCCCTGCCCTGTGGTCACTAGCACTTTAAAAAAACAAACAAAAAAACATCTTTTTTTCATAGAGCTCGAACTCAGGGCCTGGGCGCTGGTCTCTGAGCTCTTTTGCTCAAGGCCAGTGCTCTACCACTTTGAGCCACAGCGCCACTTCCAGTTGTTCTTTGGAAGACAAAAAGTTTCAACGACTTTCCTGCCCAGGCTGGCTTTAAACCACTGTCCTCACATCTCAGCCTCCTGAGTCAGCCAGACACAAACCACACTTTTGAAGGCATCCTGAGGTTCGCAGTCATTACCATCTTCTGTGCTTTCCTCTTGTGCAGCTGGAACCCTCCAGGAGCCCTGAGTGGACAGCTGTCTTGATCCAATAGACAGCCTGAAGTGAGATCATTCTCCATGTTTGTCAGTGAGGAAAGAGCCACTCCTAAGTAGGTACCTTTCCATACTAAGTCTCATTTAGCTTTTCCTCCCATCCAGATGGTTGTGCACTGTGTTAAACTCACATCCAGCTAAGCCCTGGTGTGAAAGTGAATCTGCCAGAATAGGGTCTCCTCAGATGCCCCCAAGTCAACATGAAGTTCCACTGGAATCAATCCACTGGATTTCCTGAAAACACCAGAAGGGTGGGAAAAACCAAGGCAGGAAACACAATCCTGCAACACCTCTATTCCCCATTTCCAGCCTCCATCCAGGAGAGGGACTCTGTGCTGTTCAAAGTCTCCCAGTTGTTGGGGCTTTGGTTAGCAGTCTTAGGAAATGAATCCAGGCTTGGGACAGACTGGTTGTTTGACATTTGGGAAACTGAGGCAGGGATGTCAGACTTGGATCCCACCAGCAGGGCTGTGGAGGAGTGTCCTGCCATCAGAGTTGTGAAGGCAGATGGATTATGGGAGTTCGGAAACCTGATGGCTGAGAAGCCCAGCTCAGGCATTGATAGGGAATCACATCTGGCAAGGAATCACATCTGAGCCTGTGATTAATGGGATGACTTGTGACGTGCAGTGGGGACTTGTTGATCTGGAGCCCTGAAAACTTACAGAACAGGATACCCCTTGTCTAACCACTCAAGGCCAGGAACTCCCCACACCCCCCCCCCAAAAAAAAAACCTGTGCTAGATATTGATGATACACAACTCAGTCTCAGCACTTAATGACACATGAACCCAGTTTTCCAACAGAGACCTTGTGTGTAGACCCCAACAAAAGCTCAAGGCCTTGAGACCACTATTGCATGCTTCTTTGTGAGCCTACCCGTGCTCCATCCGGAAGGGGGCGTTTTTACTTGGTTTGGCTTTTGCATCGCATTCATAAATCTGCTCCTGCTCAGTTACTCCTCTGTGAGCATCCTTGAATTCTTTCACATGGCCCCAGAACCTTTTGGCCCCCTAGGACCTGAATCTGGTAGCAGATAGATCTGGGGAGCATCTCACTACTTACTGACGTACCACCTTGGACAAAGTCTCTTAGTCTCTCCAAGCCAGAGCCCCCAACTTTAAGACCGAATGTTTCATAGAGTTTGGGGAAATGTAAATAAGAAATGACACAGGGGCTGGGAAGGTGGCTCAGTGGTATAGTGCTTGCTTTGCATGCATGAGGCCCTGGGTTCAATTCCTTAGCACCACATAAACAGAAAAACCCAGAGGTGGCACTGTGGCTCAAGTGGTAGAGTGCGCCTTGAGCTGAAGAGCTCAGGGACAATGCCCAGAGTTCAAGCCCCACGACCGCCAAAAAAAAAAAAAAAAAAAATTGACACAGGAAGAAAGCTTGACTTGCATGTGGTCCCTGCTCAGAAACAGTACCTGTTCCTATTTTCAGCAGTAGAAACAGACAAAGCTGGCTAGGGTGCTCTCAAGAGGAGAAGAAACTTGTGATTTTGTGGTTAAAAAGCTTCACCCCTTTATGTGGCTCAATTGGGTTTGGTCAATAGGGAGGATAAGGAAGAGGGTCTTGCCTGCCCCCTAGGGGTGAGAGCAGGCAACAGACATGGGAGTAGATAGGGAAGACCCGCTGGGTAGAATGTAGGCCCATGGAATATTGGTTAAGTGGGGTCAGAAACTGGAATGAGACACAGAGAATTTTAAGACACACAGACAGACTGGCAGACAGGCAGTCAGATCAATGAAGTGAGCAAATGAAGCCTGAACTGTCTAGCTGTAAGGTTCGGATCATCAGAATGGGAATAAAAAAAAAGGGTGGGGGGAGGCCATGGAAAAGAGTACCTGCCCACCGAATGAACACGGGAATCTCAGAAAAATAGAAGAAAAAAAGGGATCCTTCTCTAAAAAAGAGAGTTTGTTCCATCAATTCTTGGAAATTCAGAACTAGTAGAACAAGTCATTCAACTAGAAAGCAAGAAATCTGCAAGGACAAAATGTAATCTCATAATTAATAACAATTGTTTCCTTTTTTCCTTCTTTTTTTTTTCTTTTTCCTTCCTTCCCTCCCTTCCTCTCCTTCTTTCTTGCTCCTTGTCACATGCCATTTATTTCCAACAACACAAACCACACCAGGAAGGGGCAGAATCTCCCTGCGTGCAGCCTAGTTACACATGGGACATTCTATCACTGCGCCACATGGTCCGTTAGTCAGAGCAAGTCAGCAGGCTATCCCACACTCTCAGGAGAGGATTACTGAGGGCACAGATAGGGGGTGATCACTGGAGGCATTAGGCAACTTCAGTAGCCAGGTTTCTCAAACTCCACACTCCCTCCCCCTTCTTCCGCACCCCTGCAGTGAACCATTACGCTCTATTACCTTCCAGACAAATTAATCTGATTACTGCTCAGAACGATTAATCAAGTTATTCTAATATAGACTCCAGTGTTTTTCTAAACGCATTATCCTTTCCAATTTAATCTTCCAAGTGGGAAGTCTGGTGAGCTAGCCAAGGTGGGGCAAATGTACTAGACTCTGTGGATTTTATTTAGAGGTAAGATTAACGATCACAAAATTTCCAGATCTAAATCTTGACCACCACCACCACCACCCCTCCCGCTCCCCCACCCCACCCCAGCTATTGGATTTAGACTTGCCATGTGACTTTTAAAACAGACCAATTTGCATAAGGATAAATACAAATGGGGCAGAATGATTAAATTCAAGGCAGAGAAGCGAAGCTAGCCTAGAGAGAAAGAATTTATATTATCCATCCAACCTTGTGGATTTTTTTTCCCCCTTCTCCTTTTGTATTCGGAATCTGTGACTAAATTGAGAATTGAAATGAGGAGCCTTTAACAAACATCTTTCGACTCAGCCCTGCATCTGTGTGTAATTTGGTTGTAGGGAAAGCAAGAGGACTGGTTCATGGGGCAACTCTGTCGGCATTTATTGAAATGTTCCTAGCAACAGAAGTTGTTTACTTTGTCGTTCCCAGAGCCCCAAAAGTAGAAACAGGCAGAAATGATGAAGAGAAATCTAGAAAATTGTAGATGCAGTTTTGGTTTCTTTTCCCCCCAGAGGGCAATTTGTGTTGTAAGAATATGTCATTGCAACATCTTTTTTTTTTTTTTCTTTAAGGAAAAATTAATGACAAGCATGAGTTCATGCAGATATTTTGTTGCTGTTGTTCTAAAGTGAACATAGGCAACAGCAGGTAAATGTCTTGGTTGGCACGTAGCTTAGGGATTGTTCAGCATTGCAATTCTCTTCCCCTTGCATGGGTGATGGTTTTCCTCTGGTTGTTTTTATATTATTCACCTTTGCATGCATTCAGCCAGCTCGAGTCCTTCTGGGAAATTACGATAACAATAATATTTATTGCATCTTTTATTGATCTTATTAGGCACTCATTCTAATTCTCTCTCTCTCTCTCTCTCTTTACTCTTTCTTCCCACTCCTCTATCCCCTTTCTTTTAATGCCAGTACAGAAGGCTTGAATTCAAGGCCTGGGTGCTTTCCCTAAGCTGTTTTTATTTTTATTGTTGTATTGTTGTGTTTTTCCTCAAGGCCAGCGCTCTACCACTTGAGCCACACCTCCACTACTAGGTCTTCCTTGGTTAACCAGAGATAAATGTTTCCCTGATTTGTCTGCCCAGGCTGGCTTTGAATCTCCATCCTCAGCTCTCAGCCCTGTGAGTAGCTAGGATGACAGGGGTGAGCCATCTAGACATTTTTCCCCGCAGTATTTCATTCTGATTATGTTTGAATGCTAAAAAAAGGTCATTATTGCCATTTTAATTTTCCCAGATGAGAACAATAGAAGTCTCAGCTGGGAGAACTCCAGTGACTTGTGTGAAGGTTGCGCACGTAGTCAAAGTGGAGAGGGATTTGAGACTTGGATCTTTGTACTGTTTCCCCAGTGTCTGAACATACAGAATGAGTGAGTGAATGAATGAATGAATGATCAGTGAGCTCGATTACAGTGGGCCTTATAAAGACACTTATGCAGGTGTCTGAGCGCGCGCGCGTGTGTGTGTGTGTGTGTGTGTGTGTGTGTGTGTGTGTATGTGTGTGTGTGTATGTGTGTGTGTGTATATGTGTGTTGGGGGATTGCTTCCGGCATGTAATGAGGTGCTATGCAATCCTACA